GAAGGCTCATGAATCACACACTTATAGTATTCTGGATAAGAATATGTATGATCACCCCAAGCCAGAGGGGCCGTAAACGGGATCTGCTTCCCAGGGATCCACTGGCCATAGTCAGTCCACACTGGAGCTCAGGGAGTGCTACCAGTGTCAGCTTGGGTCTACAGTTTACAGTCAGAGGTGGGAATTCAAGTCTGGAGCTGCCCCTGTCCTCTTGAATCTACCTTCTGAATGAACCCAGGGCTGTTTAGCTTGTGTTGTCTTCTTTGAAAACCTAATTTTGAGAACTCTGAGATCCCTTCACCTCCTGAGACCCCCCCCCCTTCATTTCCCCTACTTCTAGCACAACTCTGAAAGGGTGGGGACTATTTTCTTCCTCACTTTTGTTCCCCGAGTGCCTGATACAGAGCATGGCCTATGCCTAACTCAGTGGTACCTAATCCATTTGTTAATGGATTATGAGCACAGAGACTAAATGTATGTGGCAACACTTCCAAAGTATATGCTTTGCAAACAGGAACAGTAGCATGTACCTTGTTAACAAGGATAGTTAATTAGGCCTTTACTCCTGAGCTAATTATTTTACATGCATTATAACATTTATATTTTTAAATAACTTTTGGGTTTTCCTTCCACTATCACCTTATTTGATAAGTGAGGGAACAAAGGACCAGAGAAGTGAAGCACCTCACCTCAGGCCATAGGCATTAGCAGAAGGCTGGCTCAAGGTCAGTCTGCCTTAGAGGCCTGTATGTTAATGGTACACATTACACTGACAAACAGCCCCATTTTTTAGGACAAGACTCTACCCTCCTTGAACACTCTAATACTCTAATACGTACTATTTTAGCCTATTACGTGTTTAGTCAATGGTTAAGACATAAAAGATGCCCCCCCTGCCAGAATTCCCTAGGACTATGTGAGAAATACTGCTCCTAAAGCCCAAGGGTTTAAGGGGAAGCTGTTGTGCATGCAGACCTTGCCCTCCTTGCCCTCTCCAAACTCTGAAGACAAATTTGAGAATTCTTTTCCTTTCATAACTTTAAGAACAATTTACTTGATACCAGGGGATAAGTTCAAACTCTCCCAAATGTGTATTTATCTACAAATAGGACTTTTTTAATCAATAGGTTTTATTTATTGACTACTGACTAATTGATTAACTTTTGTTTTTTTGAGACAGGGTCTCCCTCTAGCACCAGCTGGCCTGGATCTTGCTATGTAGACCAGGCTGGCCTTGATCTCACAGAGATCTGTCCATGCCTCCCGAGTGCTGGGACTAAAGGCATGGATCACCGCACCTGGCTTTATTTATTTATTTTTGAGACATGGTCTGATGTAGGCAGGCTGCCTAAGGATGACCTTGAACTGCCCATCCTCTTGCCTCCTTATCCCCAGGACTGGGATTATAGTAGCTATGTTTCACAACACTTGACTTCCCAAAGTGTAAGGATGCTCATAACAAAAGTCTTACACATGGTAAGAGAAGCAAGAAAGAAACAAGAGCTAGAATTCTGGAAAGGGGAAATACATAATTCATGCATGCCTATAAGTCCTGGCTGTGGTCAACCTCATATAACCTGCTGTTTCCAGTTTCTATAGTAGGTCCCAACACAAGGGATAACAGATCTACCATTGCTTTAAGTCAAATTACATTCAACTGCCCCAAAGTTTTAGGTCTAAGAAAACACTATCAGAAAAAGGACAGTCATAAATCTGGTCATGAAACAACAGGTATTACTGTAAGTTTAAAAAAAGATCTAAAAGACAAGGACAAGCAGGTGGTGGCACATACCTGTAATCTCAGCACTCAGAAAGTTGAGTCAGGAGGACTGCCATGAATTTGAAGCCAGCCTAGTTTCATAGTGAGTACTAGGCCATTCAGAGCTACATTTTGAGACCCCATTTCAAAATAAACAAAACAAAATGAAAATGAAAACGAAACAAAACAATATGTGCCTAGAGGCACAACACACCTCTAGGTTATGTGTCGGTAGTATCTGTGTAACTAACGACTAGCACTTGAACAATCATAACTGACTCCTGACATTGGAGCTTTTCTTTACCTTTCCTTCATAGAGGTAGCCTGGCATCCAATTATATTCCACTTGCTACAGGGAATAAAAACATCACAATGCTTGAAATGCAGATAATACCATATAAGAGTATATTTTCTTAGCTTTCCTCCCTTGGACATGGAAAACTCCAGTGTCATCAATCCCATTCTTTAATGCTAAGCTTTCTTTGCTTTGATGAGATTTTTACACAATCTGACTCAATGATGAGATAAGTTTTTGAGAACAGTGTTAGGTGATTTTGCTACTGTGTGATCATCACAGAGTTTACAACTCTAGATGGTACAGTCTAGGTTTATACACTTAGGTTACAGGGGATAAGCCCTTACTCTGAGGACACAAACATGCTACTATACTGAATGCTACAGGCACTTCTGACAAAATGACATTCATGTGTGTAACACATTTACACATAGGAAAGATACAATAGAAATACTAGGCCATATGATTTTTTTTTTTTTTTTTTTTTGGCTACATTATGGTCTTATCAGACCACTGTTTTCTGTGTGGTCTTTCCTTGAGTGAACTGTAATTATAAATAAACCACATTTGCTGCTTCAGAAACAGGAACAGCAGATGTGTGGCGCTCCCCTGAACACCATGGCTACACATGTCCATGACAAGGGGAAGTCCTCTGGCCCTGTTGGGAGCTCAGCTTGCTCACTTCCTAAGGTGACCATCATGTCCCCGATTTGGATCCAATTCTGACCACTAGTCATCATGAGGGAAGGAGGGAACTTAACCCCAAGCAGAAAAGAAACAAAACACACACAGGGTACAGCAGCCACCACATGTAAACCAACACCCACTTTCACAGATCACAGTTGCAATGCCTTGCTAGACCCTGGCTCACCAACAGAAAGCAGATTAGCTCCTAGTCTCATCCAACTTGGGCTCAGGAAACCTACGGTACTAGCAAGGATTTGGGGGCAGAACCTTAATATTCTTACTGGAAAAATGGTATCTTTGATACAGTGATTGTAAGATGAAACTGAGGCATCGGTGGCTTTTGAAAGCTCGTTGCCAAAATATAAGGCATGTTTCAAACATAAGAATCATGGAGTGCTGCTCTACTGCCCATTTCCATGGTGAAAGAACAGCTGTTGTGCGAGGGGTTGTAGACTCTGCTCTCTACCCCTTCTTTGTACTTCACTAGGAAGCCCTGCTGATTCCAGCAGCCCAAACAGGCCCTGACGCCACCCTAGCAGTGACAGCCCAAATGAATGAAGAAGTCCATGTCTCTGATCTTGCTCTATGATACCAGACTGGCCTCTCAGGCTGTGACCTCTGGACAGGACAACCCAACTTCATTGATTCCTAAAAGGGAAAGGTCTGCAGCCATTGTCCCTGTTCTGGTCAGTTCTCTCTGGCTCTCATTCCAGTAGCCTGTTTGCTCATTGGTGTAGGTCTAACAGCAAGATTTCAGGTCTATTTTAAAGGATAAATGTATGCCTTAGAAACTGTTAGGTTTTTAATTTTTTTCCCTCTTGGACTGCCAGATTGCACCAAACTTTGTAACTTCTCTTTTTCAAACAAACTGGACGTTTCCAAGTTTCCAAGAAACACATCTAAGATGCAAAAAAGAGCCTTCTGTACATAGTAACTCCAGGGCTGAGTGCTACCGCGGTCTATCACGTTGTGGATGAAATCACAAACGACTGCTTTAGACCTCCCAACCACATGCGAAAATAAGAAGTTAGGGGCTGAGCAGAGTAAGTCCAACAGATGTTGTCGATCTTCATTCAGAATCTGCATTTCTTTTTGAGAGGCCAGGCTGGCAGGGATTCCCTGGCAGATTAGATAATCATTGGGAGTTATTAAACAGAATTGTGTTTGGCTTCTCTTTTTCTCATGGATGACGACATCAACTCCTTCTATATGACCTGGAGGCTGCCATGGAGATAAACAGAAAAGAATAAATTCTCTGCTGAGCTGACAGGGCCTGTACAGCCCTCCATAGCAGGAGAGGCCCCTTTCTGTAAGGAGAGGAAGAAGGGCTCTGCTGTTCCTTGTCTAACACCAAGTTCCTAAACTACAATAATTATTTGTGCACAGGACCCTGAAAACCTTATTAGCCATTAAAAAATAATTCCAAATGGTATTCTTTATGACTGACAGAGTATTTGGAACTAGTGTTTGGGACATTTGCTAATGGTTGTCCAGGGTTACTCAGTTTAGATTAGCTTTGGCACAGTAAGACAGAGCTAGCATCCTGTCCAGGGACAGGGGCAGCAGATATGGGTACAGGTCTGGGAAAGGTCTGAGGGTCACCAACAGGGTTGCCTGAGTGGTTTGTCCCAACACTGGTCTCCACAGCTCCAGACCAGCAACCAGAATCTTAGCTTGGAATCTGAATGGATTTCTCAGTGATGTTTCGTGCAAAGCAGCATTTCAGATCAGCTCTAAGCCCAGGCTGCCTGTGTGCTCCTCAGTCCCACAGCCCACCTCTTGCAGAAGAGCCAGATGAGAATCAAGATTCAAGAGTGTTCAAGAAATACTGGGTGAGGTACAAACTGGTGAGGAAGGGTATCAACTTTGCCCCTCTTCCAGCTTCCAGGAAGTATGAAGCCACATTTGAATTCAATTATAGAAAGTTTACAGGGCTTTCTGTATTATGGGCCTTTCTGGCTCATATTTTTAATTTTCTTTTTTTTTGTCTCGCTCTCATATTCTCTACGGCTGTAATTTTTGCTCTTTATTTATTTGCTGCCATTATCTCACTTTACAGTTTTTGGATGCTCTCTCAGCTCCTCCACGACTAGCAGGGGTGCATCAGCATGTTTTTGTAGAGACATAAATCAAGGTGGCTGTTTCTGCATTCCTGTCATGTTTTCTGGTGCAAAGGTCTAGGTGGAGATGGGCCCACACGCCTTTGTTCGGCCTTTGCCGGGACCTGTTCTTAGAGATTTATGGAAGCAGTAGCCTTACTTGTGCCCTTGGAGCTCGATGGCTGTTCCTTTTCTCCCACCGATGTCCCACATGATGACAGAGTGATCAGAGCTGCCTGAGAACAGTATCCGCTGGACTGGGTCCCAACAGAGTGCTGTCACCCCTCCTGAGAAATGGACACAGCCAGATGTTAGTCACTACAAAATGGGAACTCAAGAGATCAGGACCCCTAAGGGTCCTGAATTATGATAAATATTTGCAAAATGAATAAATGAGAAACTCTAGAAAAGAAAAACTGGCTCCCAAAGTAAAAATCCCACTCTTTAAGCATCCCCCCAATGTAATGTAGCACAAAATCAATTACTACGGAGATCAAAAGGCAGTTATAATTCTAAGGATGGTAAATACAGCACTATTTGGAAACATTAACCATATTTTCCTATTACTTACTCCTAACCCTGACAATAACAAGTAAAAAGTAAACAAGGATCAAAAATACTTAGATTATTTTTCTTCTTTCTCGACACATAATAACTATACATACTTGTGGGGTACAACGTGATGTCTCAATTTAAGTATACTTTGTATGATGAGCAAACCAAAGGGGGTAATTAGCATATCCATCTCATCAAGCACTCATCATTTCTTTGTATGAAAATATTCAAAATCCTCCTTTCCAGCTATTTTGAGGACACAACACCATGTTGTTAATAGCTACCTTCTGTGCAACAAAACACCAGAACTCACTAACTGCACCTTTGTACCCAGTGGTCAACTTCTCCCATCCCCAACTTCACCCAATCTCTGGGGGAACCACTGTGCTATCTACTGCTTCTCTCAATGAGGTCAACATTTTAAATTCCATGTTGAGTGAGATCATGTGGTACTTCTGTGTGTCTGGCTTATTTCATTTAACATAATGGTCTCCAGGCCATGTGTGTATACACATAACATTTTATTTATCCATTCATAATCCATTAATTATTTGTTTGCATTTTGCAGTTACATGAATAGTGCTGTAATGAATGCGGGGGCACAGCTTTCTCTAATATGTTGACTTCTTTGGATAAAGTCTCAGTAGCCAGATCATATGGTATTCTGTTTTTTGTTGTTGTTGTTGTTGTTTTGAGACAGAGTCTCATTACATAATCCTGGTTGGCCTCAAACTTGCGGCAATCCACCTTCCTCTGTCTCCTAAATTCTGGGCTTCCAGGCATGTACCACCATGCCTGGTAGTAAGTCATGCTATTTTCTATAATGGATGGACTAATTTACTTTTCACCATCAGTGCTCAAGGTTTCTTTTCCCCACAGCTTCCCATATGCTGCCACTTTGTGACACCACCAATCTAACTGCAGAGAGGTGACACTGCATTGTGGTTTTGATTTCTCTAATGATTACTGATACTGAGCATTTTCCAAGTAACTGTTGTATGGAAAAAAAAAACTGTTACTTGTTATTTGTGTGTCTGCTTTTGAGACTGTCTATGACATATTTTATAGCCAAGTATATGATATAATTAGGCACAATATCAGAGTTGGGCATTTTTTCTCTTTGGAAACTTGAGTTTACAAATCAGCTACATTCTTTTTTAAATATATTTTATTTATTATTATTTTTATTTTATGTGTGTGTATTGCCTGCATGTAGGTAAGTGCACCCATGTCATGCAGTGTCCACAGAGAACAGAAGAGACTGTCGGATCCCCTGGAACTGGAGTTAACAGGCTGCCATGTGGGTGTTGGGATTTGAACACAGGTCTTCTGCAAGAACAGTCAGTGTTCTTAACCACTGAGCCACCTCTCCAGCCCCCTACAAATCAGCTACATTCTTTTGAAAAATATTTTATTTATTGTTTTTATTTTATGTGTATGAGTGTATTGCCTACATGTGTGTTAAGTGCACCTGTGTTGTGCAATGCCTGTGGAGGTCAGAAGAAGGTGTCGGATTCCCCCGGAACTGGGGTTATGGATGGTTATTAGCCACCATGTGGGTGCTGGGAATCGAACCCGGGTCCTCTGCAAGAGCAGTCAGTGCTCTTAACTGCTGAGCCATCTCTCCAGCCCCTCAGCTACATTCTTAAGTGCTAGTATCCTTGTCCTACTTAGCTTTAACTGTCAACTTGACACAGTCTAAAGTCACCTGAGAGGAAAAGCCTTAATTAAGGAATTACCTAGATCAAACTGGCCTGTGAGACTCTAGATTGTTAATTGCTGTGGGGGGGACTAGCCCTCTGTGGGCATGTGGTTCTGTATGTATAAAACAGCTAGCTAAATATGAGCCTGTGAGCTCCCCAGCACACAGCATTCCTTGATGGTTTCTCCTTCAAATTCCTGTTTGAGTTCCTGCCCCATCCATGTAAGCCAAATAAACCCTTTCCTTTCCTAAGCTGCTTTTGGTCAGAGTTTTTTTTAACGTACTTTTTTTTTGGGGGGGGGTCTTTTTGAGACAGGGTCTCTCTGTTGCCCTGGCTGGCCTGGAACTCACTATGTCACTATGTAGACCAGAGTAGCCTCAGTCTCATAGAGACCTGCCTGCCTCTGCCTCCTGAGTGCTGGGATTAAAGGTGTGTGCCACCATGCCCAGCCTGATCAGAGTATTTTATCACAGCAACAGAAAGGAAACTAGAACAATCCTCAACCATAAAATGGGGGTGGCGTACTGTAATATTTCAATCACTACAACCGCTAGTAACAGCAAGCTGAGCAACGCATAATGGTGAGAATTGGTCAGATGAATTACACAGGACTACACTGTAAGCTTTAGTGTGATAGAGATTAGGATTACTCTAGCATATAGCTAACCAATATTATAAAAGATTTTCTTCTCTTATAAATCAAATTCCTTGAATACTGAGAATAGTAACAAAATTTCCACACAAGATTGGTACTTAGGAATGTAAGAAGCTTTTTTTTTAAGTTTTTTTTTTTTTTTTTTTTTTTCTGGTCTTTTTGAGACAGGGTCTCCCTGTAGCCCCAGCTGTCCTGGAATTCACTATGTAGACCAGGCTGGCCTTGAACTCACAGAGATCCACCTGCCTCTGCCTCCCAAGTGCTGGGATTAAAGGTGTGCACCACCACACCCGGCCCAGAAACTTTCATTTTTAAACATTAAAAAATGCTATATTCTGAGACTATAGACCAGCTTCATATTTTTTGGAGTGTGACATTTTTTAAAGTATCCATTTGTAGGGCAGCAGAAATGGCTCAGCGGTTAAGAGCACTGGCTGCTCTTTGCAGAGGACCCGGGTTCGATTCCTAGCACCCACATGGTGGCTAACAACTGTCCCTACCTCCAGTTCCAGGGGAATTTGTCACCCTCTTCTGATCTCCACAGGCAATGGATGCATTTACACACATGCAGGCAATACATTCATACACATAAAATAAAAAATAATAAAAATATTTAAAAATAAACTATCCATCTGTTTTAATAAAATCTTAAACTTTATGAGCTTTTAGGGCAGGTACTCACTTGTCTCTGAAGACATTTTTAGGATCACAGAAGACCCCCTCCCCCTACTCTTGTGGAGTCTTACTGTTGTGGCTAACTGGCTTCTTCCTCTACCTGCACTCTACATGTTTGCATAGATTCCTGTTCCTGGAACAACCAACCTCACTTCCTCTAGTCAGCACTTCCTCTAGTCAGCTTGTGGTTAACTAGCCTGTAGCTCCAGGCCACCCCCCCACCCCCGCCCGCCAGAGCACTTTCCCCAATAGCAGTCCAGCATAGCACCAGGGCAGAATGAGGGGCAGATGAATGGAATACAAACCTTTTTGTCTTTATATCATGCTAAACCTTGCCTAAGTGCCATTTCTTAGAGTTCTCTATCACTGTTCTCATTACTTGCATCCTCATTTCCTCCCAGACTGGGTGACCTTCAGTCTTCCTATTAGAATATAAGCTCTAGGAGGCCAGAGCCATGAATTGTTCCTCGCAGGGTCCCCAGTATGAACAATTCTGCCTGGCTTGCGGAGGTATTCAGTATGCAGAGACAGAGGAGCCAATGGCTGGACAATGAGTCAGAACAGAACTACTGCCCTCCACCTTGCTCTCAGCAAACGAAGCAGGTCCACGGCATGCATTTCCTGAACTGCAGTGCTACTGATGTGACACCTGCTGTTCTACTTTTACACCATGGACTGCTCAGCTCACAGAGGATGTGAAGTGGCTGGATTCACTAATGAAGACACCATGCTTAAGGGGACAGCTAAGGCAAGGTGACATATGTAATTTCTCCTATAAAACGTAAAATGGGAAGCTCGGCTTCTTAAAGAATCACATCAGATTTAAATAAAAGTGTATGCTGCTGGAAAGAATGGCTAGAAAAGCTTCATTGATTCAGGGACTTAATGGATAAAGGACTCTTCAAGTTAGGTCACTATAGAAATACCTTCCTGGGGCTTCTCTGTACCCTAACCTGTCAACCTGACACTTACAAATGCTGTACCATGAGACACAACTCCCTGGTCCTCGTTGCTGCTGACTATGGCATGAGAAGGTTAAGGGGGAAGGAAGTGAGTTTAGATTTGGAATTATAAGTTTACAGGCTCTGGGACCAGATTCAAGGTTCAAACACCAGCTCTACCTTTGCTAGGTACATGAGCTTGGGCAGGTTACTACTGTCATTGTGCCTCAGAAGTCTCATTTATCAGCAGGGACGGCAATAGCACCTAATAATGGTTATGTTGAGATGAAAGGGGCTGACAGGTGAGGTCCCAGACTAGTGCCTAGAATATGCAAAGCACTCAGATGTCAGCTAGACTGCAAAGCAGAGACCTCCTTGTACAGCCTATGTTGTCCTTTAAGGCACTGTGGAGATCTCACCTGCACAATCTTTGTCATGGTGTCCTTGGTGGAGCCAGCCTTTAAGGCAGTGGCTAGACGTCCCCATGTTATCCCAGCCATTATGAGCAAAGCTCAAGTTTTAGAAACGTACTCAATCTCTAGCTTTACTGCATCCTAGCAGACTGTAAGGGGGAAGTGGAGTTACCAGCAACAATATGAGGACGAGACAATCAATAACCTGGCTAAAGCAATGCATATTCATCAGTGTATAATGATGAATATACACTAGGATTCAGTGTATAAAATATGGAAGAAGACATAAAAGGATAGGATGGAGCAGGGATGCCAACAACTCTGGGTTCATAGGCTCTTGGATAC